TTCAAATTCCAAGTGATTGTTGTTGATGCTGCTTAGTATATGTTGACAAGAGAGCTATGTGTGTGCTGTTCTAGAATCATAGATCTTGGTGGTGATTTTGTTGACATTGCAACGTCTCCAGAGTTGTCTGGCTTTGAGGTATGAGGGCTTGCTTCTAAGGGAAAACAAGTCCACAAGCTGCCAATGGTTACAGGTTTCATATGTGGAATGGCTTAGCTTTGCAGAGCACTGTCTTGAGAGTGGTTTTTATGCTATAGCTAACAAGGTCAGAAGAGAACCTCTGTTGGTTTTTTATATTGAATTTCTTTGTTTGTATTTTGCATAACATTGGTCTCTGGAGGTAAAACGACATAATGTACTCCCTGATGGCCAAAAATCCTTTCTATAAATACAACTCGTAAAGTAGAAGTAATCTGCATCTGATATTCCTTTTTGAATGATTACAGTTTTTAGGAGTGAAACAAAGAAGTACTTCAGTAATTTGACTACTATTAAACAACTCAAACAATTCATTTGTTGTGCTCAGGAAGGATCCAAGTCTTTGTGTTTTAGGCTAAAGCCTAGGTACTGATGAAGATAACTGCATAACATCATGCCTAAGGACTATTTAACTTACATATTCAATCTAGAGCTGTTTATCCTTTCTCTTTGAAAAGCTGATTTTTGCATGCAAGAATACATACACACTTTCATTAGACTCTTTTGATTTTCTGCATTTTTCCGTTTTCTTGGTTTGGTTTTAGCTAATTACCGGTTGTTTTATCTTAGAATTTCAGTCTTCATTTTCCATTTTTGCTTGTTCAGGCATGTGAAAACGCACTATCATGCCTCCAGAAGAATGATATTGCAGACTCCAGAACAGATCAAGTGTTTGAAAATTTGCGAGCAACTGAAAAGATTAACAAACTCAAGAATCGTGCCCTATTATCAGCATCTTCACACTCGGGTATGTTTTACATATTACGTTAGTTCGATAGAGAGTTTATTGGCAAGTATGATGGAGCTGGTCAGCTATACTAGTAGTTCTCAGATAAGGAAATCTGAACTTGTATTATGAGTGTACCTGATGCTTTCTTGCTGCTTACTCATTATGCTTATATACAATTTTAACCTGACTACCTGGGCAAATATATGAATATTAGGGAAAATCTATTTGGCTACCTAGATTTCCCAGGGGCCTTAACAATGATAGCACCCCAATTTGCCAAGTTTATACTGGTGTAGTGCTCTTATCAATATGCTACCAAACACATACCTAAAAGGATGGATAGCTTAATTGGCTGCTATCCCAATGATCAGAGCACATATTAGAGGTTTACTGATGTGTAGTTAAAGCTGCAAGACTTCCAAGTGCTGTTTGGTCCCCTGTAGAATTTTGTTTTAGCATCATGCATCTTTATTGCTTGCAGACTATCATAGCTATTATATTCAGTCATTCAATTTGATGTTAATGAATGCCAGAAAATGTGCATTGTAGCATGCATATTATACACAGATAACTGTTTCTCTTGTAGGATCTTGCTTTGTAGAGGCTATTATTCATGACTTAAATTACCCTACCGATATATATAACCGATGTTTATGTATGGTTCTGTGTTTTCTTGTGGAGTGATGTGGCAATCAAGATTCATGTTAAATAAATTTTAAGTAGGATTTACATGTCATTGGATTGGCAAACGACTCAAAACTCAGAAGCTTCTTCCTGGTGAATGCCAGTCCAGGCGCAGGCAGCAGTGTTCTTGAGAAAGAATAAAATTGAGAAGAGTGAAAAACAGTCTCCGGTTTGTGAAACAATCAAGTGTAATGCAAGCATTTGGTTCAGAAATGGAATTAAAAACCATAATTTACGAAAATTGCATGCGCGTCAAAGGCTACAGCAGATTAGTGGAGGATCACACTCGACAGAGATTTAAGGTCAATGTCAAGTTCCGTTAAGCTATGCATTGCATTTCAAGGACATCTATTCAAGTGCTTTGATTTTGCCTCCTTCCTAGACATAATAAGAGATCTGATGATATAATCCGTAACAAGTCAACTAAAAGGCAAGTTTAGATCCTCAATGAATGATATATTGCCACATTTTTTTTTTCCTGAGACATCTTCTAAACTTTTACACCAGGTATTAGAAACGATGAAGGCCCCCATATATATGAAACTGATGCGGACTTGAATTTTTTGTGTAGTGTCTCCAGCCCATGTAAACGGTAATGCTAATGCAGGCCCGAGCTCACTAGCTTAATTGAGCCTCTGTAATTTCTATTCTTTTGTCTGGGTACTTCTCCTTCTACCTAATCACGAAGGAGATTTTTATTTTATTTTATTTTATTTTTCCTAATTAAGAATCGCGAAAGAAAATCTAATCCATCAAACGCGTCTCTCCCAAAATACATGGTTAATTCTTATACATGTGTATTATCTATTATGGATTGGCGATGGAACTTTTAGAATGAGAAATTGTATTTGAAAAATTAAATTCTTTTTTTTTTCTCTCTTTCTGGTTCTGCAGAACAATTCTGCGTAAATTCTTATTCATTTCATTTTTTTAATATATAGGAGGATTATAGAGTTTGAATTTTTAATTTTAACTTGAATTAAAGTTTTAAGTTAATGATTATCAATTGACTAAACTCTTATTAGTATTTTTATTCATTTCTAATACAACTTGCTGGGCAGCAATTATTCTTACTGTTTACAGATTTTTAAATTGTTCATTTTTATTGTTTACTTTTGATCTCTCAGAGATTTTTTAGTACCATTTACTGTTAGTTTTTGCTTTTGGCCGGAGTTGACTGTTGATTGTGTTTGCAAACTTAAAAGGCAAAGGCAAAATTTTGCCTTTAGAAGAAACCGGTGCTCTGCTGACATAAATTTTGGTGATATTTTGTTCATTTGAGTTTGAGCTAGCTTATTGCTGCATTTTTTAAGTTCCACTTACCGATTTTAGAAGAAACCGTGGCTCTGCGGACGTTGCATTTTGAATAGAAGCGCTTTGCGTTGAAATTTGAAAATCCAACACCTCTGTTTCCAAGCCATTGAATTTCAGGTCAGTTGTCGCTTGAGCCCCATACTTAGAGATCGACATTGTCAAACGTTGCTTCTAGTCTCATTGTTCTTAGGCTTTTGAAATCTATTCATAAATTCAAGAACCAAATCTTCCATGTCACCAACTATATTTAGAAGCTTGGAATCATGTGGAGGGCATTTAATGCAATAGTAGGAATAGAGCTTAGGGTTCTACAACTAATATATATTTTTTGTTCCAATCTCTCTCCAAATGGGTTTCCTTTTAACAATCCTTAAACTTCAGCTTCAAGTCGGATCTCATTAAATGGTAGAAATTACTACTAACTCATTACTTATTTGGAAGAAAAAGAATCATTTAGGAATTCCATGTGATTATGATCAACTGATCATAAGATGGATCATATGATTATCACACAAACAACTTTTCAAAGCAATAAAAGTCAAAGGAAAGGCATATTTTCATCTTAATTAAATAATCCGATGACTTACGGTTCCAGTTAAGTGGAGCATAATTAAGTTTCACCAAAATCTTGATTGCTTTCATGGCATGTGTAAACTCTGGGACAATGATTAATTTACTTTTTAGTTCAACACATTTTACAATATATTTATTAAGAATAATAATTATTTTTAAATTTAAATTCAAAATAAAAAAAACTTTTAATTTTAAATTTTAATAATTGAACTGATGAGTATATTGAACCAAAGTGTACTAATCACTATCAAAACTCATATGCAGGCATGAGATGTTAATTTGGATTTCTAATACTTTTTTTTTTTTTTTTATCTTGGTTGCATAATAAGAGGCAACCATCTCCAATCTCTTATCCCACCCCACTTACATGTCATGCAACTCAAACTTAAAACCTCTTACTTCCAACGAAAAGAGATAACCATTGAACTATTTAAGTTGTTGGTAATTTGGATTTCTAATACTAGCTGGTCCAATGTTGGCTGAAAACTTTTATTGCACCACTTCATTTTATGAATATCTTAGCATTAATTAATAACTTCTCTCATATTTTCTGAAACTGAAAGATTATAAATATATAAAAAGTTTTTCAAATTACTCATTAATCCATTCTTTTACCAAATTGTATCCTTTCCCCTATTTTCTCCCCTATACTCAAGTGTGGCTTGAGGTATGAGATATCTTCCTCCTAATTGGTATGTTCTAGATCCAAAGACTTTAGACTTTCTTAGAGTTCTAGAATTTTCCTCAATTTAAGATCTAGTTGGAGCACTAGGGTTTTGGTTAGGATTTAGATTTAGATTTTCAAGGGTTACATTCATGAATATTTTCTCCTGTTAGGATTTATATTCATGAATAATTTGAAATATGAGTTTATGATTTTTCAAGTAAGCCTCAAATAGAAGTTCTAGGTTTAGAATTTGATCTTCTATGTCCTCTCCATAATATTTCAGAGTTAAGACTTCCTCAACATTAACTTCATTTCTTTTTGAGGAAAAGTAAGTTTCAATGAATTCCCATTCTTCATTATATTTATCTTTAATTGGACCCCATTTCGCAAAATGTTCTTCCCTTTTTTCTTAAAGTTTGAAGCCAAGAAGGTTTGCTTTCTTCACTTTCAATTTCTTTAATGAAGTGTAACATCTTGATTTCAATAGTTTCTTCATTTTCTTCTTGTTCAAGAAGTATATTTTCATAATCATTAAAACTCAGACTTGTTTCTCCCTTATAATTTTGATATAAGGTGTTTCGAGTGGGTACCATTATGGGTCTACTTAGGAATTTGGTGATGTTCCATTCAATTCCATCTAGATAGGTTGAATCTAAATGTTTGGCTTGAATGACCTTAATTCTCTTTGTCCCATATATTCCACATATTTCTTCATTGGTTACTTTATAATTGGTGGTGTCATGAAGAGTAATTTGGCCAACGAATCCTATGCAAATTAAAAAATTCTTTTCTCCCTTAGCCATGGAATAGCCTTTAGTCATGATTTCTACTTGTATAAATTACTTAAAGGCTTTTATGTCAATTTGGAAATTAGGAGTAAAGTAAGCAAATCCCCCTTGTTCTGATTGGTCTATTTCGATAGATCCTATGAGGGCTTGGATCATATTTTGATGTCTTGCGTCTAAAAGAGTTAAAAGGCATTTTGGACCTAAACCCTTTCTATGAAGTGTTTTAACTCCTATAATGATCAACCCTATATGTACCAATGAATATTTCATCTTTGGAAGATTAAAATATCCATTTTCACTTAACAATCTTAAGGTAACAATATCACTATCTTTGACACAGGATATTTGAGCTTCTTGATAATATTGAGGGATTGATCCAACACTAAATAGGGAATTGGCATTTTCATGAAGATACTTGGGTCTGACCAAGTCAAATTTATGAATTTTGAATCTTTTAATTTGTTCTTCAATATCTATTAAAATTTTGATTTTTATAGATTCTTGAATTTGTTTTCCTTTAGAACATCCTAATCAAAGGGTGATGGGAATCAAGATGACAACATATCTACTACATCATATGATCCATTACACACCCAAAGAGGTCCAGTCACGCGAGCTAGAGCTAAGAAGATGCATGAAGCTTTAAATGGCCTTATTGAGCAGATCTGGGTTGAAAACAACATACAACAAGCAAATCAAAGCTTGGATGATTATCAAGACATGGTAAACATCATTCAAGTTCAAGAAAAGCTTAGTTGAGGTCATTTGCACGGAATTACACAGTTTGCATCAAAATCGCACAATTCTGCTGTAATTTGTAGCAAACTGATATTTCATGTTATTTTAGGTTATTTTTAATGATTTTCATGTTTTTTGTATTATTTTTGGGCTGAGCATTTGCTTATTTGAAACCCAATTCATGGTTATTAGGTTTAGGACTTAGGGTGTTAGTTTCAGGACTTAGGGTGTTAGTTTCCTATTCTGATTAGGATTTGTTTTCTCTATTTAAAAGGCTTGTAACCCTAATGGGGAGGCAAGCTATTAAATCTGAGTTTTTGAGAGACTTTTCTCTTTGGTTCATTTCAGAACTTTACATAACTTATCAAGATTATTTTTCTGGTGTTCTAACCTGACTTATCATTCTCGTTCTTAATCGTTCGAGGGTGTGGCGTAAACCAACTTTAAACCTCTGGTTCTTGTTGCGTCATAGACAACGGGTCAAGGTTTTTACCTTTGGTTCTTGTTGTGACATAAACAACGGGTCAAGGTCGTATTATAAACCTAATTTGGCTTTCTTGGAGTTTAAAAATCCCTTGTCGTGTTGTGGGTCTCATTGTTCTCTTTGGGGTTCTCATCAAAGGGTTGCCTGTAATTTTAGATGATTTCATGATTTTTGGATTTTAAGGTAACACATTATAATTTCTTGAACTTGATACTTTAAGTTCTTTGGCCTTTATGTTGGATAAAGACGAAAGATTGAATTTTATCTGCCTAAGATCCTCTTTTATATCAATGGTTCCTACCAAATCTATTTTCTCACTTGCCTCTTGAAGATATTGTCTCTTAGTTTCTTGAAACATTTCTACTCAAGGTTGTAGAAAGCGTTAAGCCATGGTGGGCGATTGCTCACAACCTAGAGCCTAGAGTGCATAGGCAATGCCTAAGTTGCCTAGGTGGTTTTTTTATTTTTAAATAATACTTTTTTAATATAATTCTAAGAAAATAAGAAAAAAATGTAAAACAATTTTAAAAATTATAAAATAAATAGAAAAATTAAAAAAAAAACACCTAGGCACCATCATTCTAAGAAAATAAAAAACAATTTTTAATAATACATTTTTCTATTCATTATCATGTTTAAAGAGCAGAATTTAGGGGAACTACTTGGCATTTAATATTTTTTTAATATAATCTTTATAATAAATTAAATGATATCATTTCATGAGGCTAAAAAATTAATAAAAAAAATTTGCTCAAACACTTTAGGCGCCATTAAGTGCACCTAATAGTGCCTAGGCGTGCTTAATTCATCTGAGTAGTGCAAATTGCATTGAATTTTTGCCTAAAGGTTGATGTAGGCAAAATGACACTGCCTAGGATCGCTTTTTACAACAATGTTTCTACTGTTCTTAAGTGAGTATCGTTTAAAAGGTCCTTTAATTATTTTATTTCACTTAAGATTTCTTCTTGATTTTCAAGGATTCGTAATAGCAAAATATTTTGGGCATTATGTTGTCCTACTAATACATGAACTTGGGTTGGTAAAGGTTGAAAATTGGTTAATCCATAGGGATTTTCTAATTTTCCTACTTCATTTAAAACTTCCTAATAGTTTGAATTTTGACTGAAAGTGGTTTCACTCAAAATTCAAATCAAGAATTAATTTTTGAAGTCTCTAGACTTGTTTTAACAACTTTTCTTGATTTTGGATCAAGCTAGTTGTTTGATTATAGATATTTTGAATAAAAGGATTTGACTCTCTTTTATTCAAAATTTGAGAACCAATTGAATTGACTTTATTTTTAACAAATTCAATTTATTGTTACAAATAGTCTTGATTTTCAATTATTTTCACAATATTTTGGTTGTAATGTCTTTCAAAGTTTTGAAACTTTTTTAGCACTACTTTTTTTTTTTGTTTGTTATAATTTTCTTAAAAAATTATAATTAAATCTGCAATACCATTTAACTGATTATTATCTGAATATAAGTTATGACTAAAACCTAAAAAACTACTCACTATATTATGATTATCTAAAATTACTTTTGGTTTTTTATATGGATGTGAAATAGCTAAATCTAAATAATTTAAATTCATATATTTTTTACAAAGATAAAATTTGGGGTAATAGATAGTAACAGATAATAATATAACAACAGTAATAGTAAACAATATTTGGCAAAATTATAAATATAATCAGTAATAGATATTGACAAAATACTAATGAATAAATAAGAAAGAAATAAATATAAGATAAAGTGAGAGTAACAACATATTAGACAATACACGAACAAAATACTACTAAATAGTGACAGGTAGCACTTGAACCTTCGGGCCCAGTGACATCAGGTCACGTATAAGTGCATTCCCCCACCCCCAGAGCAACGGTTCGAATCCGACCCCTTACAAATTTGTTAAAAAAAAAAAAAAATAGTGACAGGTAGTATAGACTAAAGAGAAACCAAATAGCTACCAATGTTGACCAAAAGCAAGAGTACGTAGCAATTGGAAAGAAAGCAATATTGTGAAAGTCTTGACTTTTAATACAAAGATGTTAACATAGCCTGAAACTAGTTAGAAAATAAACAAGATAAAAACTCTACTACAATTTAAACAAAGGTAAAAACTATACAAGCTGACACAAATTAATGCAACTTGACTTTTTCAAACAAAGCAAGAAAACTATATGTAACTAGAACTAGAAACTTTAAATAAGAATTTAATGTAGTAAGATTTGTTAACAAAAATATAAGATAAACTAGATCTTTGATAAATATTTTTGTCTGTAAATTAAAATTTGTCCACTTTCTATGCCTCATGCAAATATATAAATGAAATGAATGGTGCTATAAGGACAACTTTTTTATACCACTTTTTTATACAATTTTCACATGCCATTAAATGAATGGATGCATTCAATATCACGGGTTTCACATGAATTAAAAGAACCAATCATTTAAATGATACATTAAGTTATACAAAAAGGTGGGACAAAAAGGTTGTACAAAAACGTAAGACAAAAAGATTGTATAAAAATCATTTCCCTAAATGAAATAGCTCTTATACCATTTTATTTTCAAACCTCTTTCTATTACCCATTAATCCATTATCTTTCCAAGGTTTTCAAATTGTAACCAGTCACTTTTTATCTTTTAAAAAAGATAAAAGCGATTGATTATGGTTATCTTTGTAAATAAACTTAAGGTTAATTAATCATAATTACTTTTCTATAATTAGAGTTAATTTTATTGCAATTACTTTTTGTAACGTAGGTTAGTTCTCTTCTTTAAATTGTAGAAGTTAGAAGTTAAGAAAGTAGAGTCGTAGAGTAAGAGACAGTAGAAAGAAAGAGAGAGTTCAAAGAAAGTTCAAAGTTGTGTCGAGCTAGAGAAACTTGTCCCCAACTCAAATCTTTTGTAATCTATGCTCTTTCAAGTATGTATAAAATATATTATCTGTTATTTTCTTCAATGTGTTATCTAGCTTAGAGAAAATCTTTGGCAAGACAAATAGTGTGTAGCTTCTATATTTGTCTCATTATTCTATATTCATATACTTATATATAAATGAAGAGATTTCTGCGTAGGTTATTTTCAACTTCTTTCTCAAAGATCTTTAGACAAGAAAAATTACTGGTTTTCATTACTTACACAAGTGTGGAAAGTAAGAAAGTTAAATCTATATAACCTAGTATAGAAGAAATTCTTTACCATCTAGCCTCATTGAAAAGTATCCATTTGAAGCCGAGAATGACATTTTAGGAGAAATCACTGGGGATTTAGAAGTCAAGTTTTCTTGATTGGGTTGGTCACTATCTTTCTTGGGAAAGAGGGGGATCACTGGTTGTGTATATATATATATATGAGCGTGCACTGCCTATGCAAGGCTTCCATTCTATTGAATTTTATATATGTTAACACATCTAAATTGATGCTTGTGATAGTTATGGTGATAGAGTACATTGATGATGCTCTCAAGGATTCATGGAATCTCATTTCTCTTGCCAGGCCATTCTCGTGCATATCAATTTATCCCTTTTTGGCCAGAACTCTCATGCACTACTTAAAATGAGAAAACTGTCAAGCATAAAAAAATCATGAGTGAAACTATTACAAAGGATTCTTGATGTTTCAAATGTACCTTAAATTGGAGTTTGGCGTGAAAAAAATTTGATTGATGATTTTTCATTATCTTTTTATTTTGCCATAAAAGAAAATGCAGGCATTCTGATGGGTTCAGGAACATGAAAAGGATCTCTCTCCAGTCTCCACACATAGTAAACATTGCTCTGTGATCTTTTTCTGTTAGATCAATTGTTGGAACTAATTTTTTCTTTACTACTTCAAGTTCAGATGGGCTGGTCTCTCTCTATTTCATTTTTTTAATCAGTTGTATTCAGCTCAATTCTTGTAAGTAGCCCATAATTTAGATTCTGCAACATTGTTGAAAAGATGCTATGATTTCATTTTGTACATTAATGATCTCTGTAATTTTTACGGAAGAAATAACTATTCCGAAAACCATTTTCGCCCGACCAAAGTTTTGACTACAAAACCTTCAAATTAAAATTCCATACTCAAAAGTTTACACTGCTAGATGTTATGATTTATATAAGGTATTATTTGCACCAAGAGTACTAGTGGGTTGTTACTTGTCAACATGAGAGATCCAGCTTTGCAAGAGAGGACGGATTATCTACATATAATAATCACTTGTCAATGAATTGGTCGTCCTTATAAGCTTTCTTATTTTATCACAGATATTGCTGGAAGCATCTTAATTTGATATTAATTTTAGTTTTGATAAACATGCATTAATGACTGGGCATCTATATATATATCATAGGTTCTTCGTGATTCGTAGGTCTAGTCCTAGGATGAGAGAGAGAGCTTAGGATGCGGAAGATATGTGTGTGTTTCCACTTTCCATGTGAATGTCTGCCAACAAACATTCACGTCGAGCTCATATATCATGGTCATGGAGTCTCGGTCCAAGTTAGGATTTCACATTTTCCCCATCACCAAAACCCGAACCCTAATCACTCTTCATAGAATGAATTGGTCTAATTTATACATTGTCTGAATTCTGACATTCTAATTTGAAACAATTTACTAATATTTTTTTTTCCTCTCTTAACTTTAACACTACAGAATTAGAATGGTCAAAGCAGAACGTGCATGGTACACAACTGCATGGATGCCAACCTATCACGCGCCAAGGCGGTGGTCAACTCACATGGTAATGTTCTGTATAGCAATCTTACTCCACATCTCAAAATGACTCATTGCCCTTGGCAGGTTTGGTAAACTAATTTTTCCGAAAGGAGAAAATGGTAATTAACATTTACTAGAAAAATGTTTCTGTAGTTGTTTCTTTCACATTCAGGAATATCATAGCCTCACTCCATGGATTAAATATTTAGTTTTTTTGTAAGGTTGATCTTCTTACTTCAAACGAAACATGTGAATCCATTCTACACTTGGCTTGGCCCCCCCACCATTATATATATGGGCATTTTTATCTCGTTCTCTTGCACACTAAGCTTTCTATGTGATATGTTTTCTCGTAGATCTTCTTAATTTCTCCTTCATCGGAGAAACATCTTTCTTCTTGGTTGGGCTGTTTCTTATTGTGCCAATCTACCAGATCATGCGGGGCACCTCACCGTGCGCGTCCTGCAAATTGCTGAGGCGTCGCTGTGCTAAGGGCTGCATATTTGCCCCTTACTTCCCTTCTGATGACCCTCAGAAGTTTGCTATTGTTCACAAAGTCTTTGGCGCTAGCAATGTCAGTAAAATGTTGCAGGTATATATCTCCTCTCTTCCCCTCTATGCTTGCATAGAGGCGTGAGTGCCTGTGTTTTAGTTTTCCAAGTAGATAAGAAGGTTCTTTTTCATTTTTTTCTAATATATACACCTCAGAATAAGAGAAGCAGCATGCTATAGCCTTTTTCAAGGCTGGAATAGAATTGAAGTTTCGAAATTAGAGAATACGAACTTGCAGCTAATTAGCTGATTCTTGTTCCAGATGAGATGCTTGTTTTTAATGGCTTTTGTTGATCTCTCCACAGGAGCTTCCTATTCACCAGAGAGCCGATGCTGTGAGTAGCCTGGTTTATGAAGCAAATGCAAGAGTGAGAGATCCGGTTTACGGATGCGTGGGAGCAATATCTTACCTTGAGAATCAAGTTTCACAGCTGCAAATGCAGCTTGCAGTTGCTCAAGCAGAGATCCTTTGCATTCAGATGCAACAAGAGGCAGCCACACCGACGCCTTTAGACCAAGATGACAAGTCACTTATTCTCTCCAGTAGTAATTTCAATATTAACTCTCCCCATCCGCAATACCTCATCAACTTTGCTGCTTCTTCTACCAATCTAATCCAAGACCCTCTAAAGAGAGAGTCTCTTTAGAATTAAAATAATTAGTTACTCTTTTTTTTTACAAGAGAAATACCAGAACATTTTGTTCTCTCCTCTAATTATTTTCTTCTTCTCTGTTTTGTTGGTTAATTAGTCAAATGGACTTTCGGTATATATTGTCAAGAAAAGAAGAGTAGTTGTGAATTAAAGGAAAGAATTGGGGTGGCTAGGTTGTGTTGACGATTGAATTTGAGGGGTTAACAGCAACAACTAGGAATTAATTTAAGAAATGATATGCTCATGGTTTCATGTGAAAAAAATAATAATAATAATAATAAAAATGTCACGTGTATATATATATATATTTATTTATTTTTATTTCAATGACACAATAAGAGAATCATTTTTCATCTTTTATTTTAGTTTACTCATATATTATATTACTCAAATTCAAAATTTTTTATCTTTAAATGCTGCGTATATATTTAATTAATACCTAATAATGTTCAATTTTCTATTGCCGGCCTCTACTCTACAATCTACGACTAATTCATTTTTAATGGGACAAGTGTTTAAAAATGAGAATTGAAAAACTGCAGCAACTTACGTTGTTGTGAGGAAGTCACACGTGATATGTTTCTAATAAGTCAAGGTTAGAAGCCGTCTTAATTTCTTTTAATTAACTTTAATTAAATAGTGTCCTGTCCCGACCTCCTCTTCTTTACAATTTTCTTTTCCCTATAATCTTTAGCCTATTTGCTTTCACATGAAAAGGACTAAAGTTTGAGGCCTCAAACCCAATACAATGTTGTAATATGAAAATGCAGGAATTATCTACCAAACTTTTAGTT